AACTTTGTTTTTAAAAATAATAAGGTACAGTCGCTTGCAGAAAACCTGTTTCCTCCTTGTTAAAAAAAAACAATCTTTACAAGTGGGTTTTTTTTTCATTAAATTGTGTTTGTTTGGGGGCCACACTCTGCTGTGCTCAAGGCTTACTCCTGGTTCTGTGCTCAGGGATCACTCCTGATAGTGACTGAGGGATGATAGATGTTTCTGGGTATTGTACTTGGATCAGCTCCATGCAAGAAGCTGTGCTCTCCTCTCTGGTCCCTCACATTAAATTTTTTTTTTTCAATTTGAAAGATTTTTTATTTGAGGTACCATGATTTATTACAATACTATTTATGATAGGGTTTTGTGCATGCTGTATTCCAATGTCCCAGCCTCCACCAGAGTATTTGCTTCCCTGCACCACTGAGTCAGTCACCTTTCTCCAGCCTCTCTCCCCTCGCTGTGATAAATAAATTGAGTTGTCAAGTTCTGCTGCCTCTGTCTGTTTGCTATGCCACACTGTGTTGCTTTATAACCCACATATGAGGAAGGCCATTTTGCATCCGTCCCTCTTTTCACTAACTTCAATCAGCAAGATACTCACCAGCTTCATCCACATAGTGACAAATCTAATTTTTAAACACACACACACACACACACACACACACACACACACAATTCCAAAGAACTCAGTACTTGCATTCAGAGACCCATCATTTCCTTCCTTCTGAGTAGACAATGTTATGGAGAAGTGACAAGAAAACAGAAATCTCAGGGCCCAGGGGGCATTTATCATGCATCTTAAGCACTCTTAAATCTGTTAAAATAGATTCAGAACCAAAGTTTAGTTAATCTCTCTCATGCTAAGAATCAAATCTGGGCTTCACACAGGGAGAAATGTACCTTGGCTACATTCTCAGTTCTACTTATTTCACTAAGGGTTTTGTTTCTTTTGTTATTTTTTTTGTTTATTGTTTATGTTTTTTGGGCCATGCCCAAGAGTGCTCAGGGCTTATTCCTCCCTCAGTGCTCAGGGATCACTTGTGGCAGGGTTTGGGGACCATATGTAGTGCAGGAATCAAAGCTGGGTTGACCATGTGCAAGGCAAGCCCCCTATTTGTTGTACTTCCAGTTTTATTAGGTTTTTAAAAAACTTACATTCTGTAGCCAAAGCAATAGCAATAATTAAATTATATGTGGGTCAATGCAGTGTGTGCATAGCTTTGATGCTAGATGATGAGATAAGGATGATCGTACCAAAAACAGGGACAGGGGCCAGATGAGAATGCAGGCTGTCTTCTGTGGAAGCACCTGGTTTCATTTCTCCCTGTCCCGAGTCCCATGTTCTCAGAAGTGCAGAAGCATGTTACAAAACAGGAGGAGATAGATATGGGAAGGGCAGGGAGGTGAGAGTTGAGAGATGGGAGGAAATTTAGAATAGACTCAGCCTTGGTCTAATCTTCAGAACTTCAGAATGAGCACAGCCTGTAGGACCATTTTATTACAGGAGCAGAACTGCTCGCTCTTCGCAAAGGTAACAATAGTGGACTGGAATGACAGTTTCCTAACACTACATACAATCCTCTGAGCCTAGCCAGGAGTGATCCTTGAGTGCAGGACCAGGATCCTGTAAGCCGTGAGCACAGCTGGGTCTGCCTCCCTCCCCCAAATCAACCATACAAACAAAACATCAAAACAAAAATTAAAATAGTAAAATCTGGCATGCTGGTCTGCATGCAGAGATGTAGAAAGTCCTAAATACTGATCCTGAAGAGGCTGAGTTGTATTTCTTAATCCTGTTTATTCGGATATTCACTCAGCCATGCATTTAAGGAGCAGAGCACCTACTGACAGCCAGGTCCTCAGGGACACAAAACCACACTCCACAGATATAGGTCCTTTTCCTCTCAATGCAAAACAAAGCTGATCATTGCTCTGAAGGAAGGTTTAAAAGTGTATTCCCAATGCTGTTACGGGATGTGAGATGACATCCCTAAGAAGGGAGGGACAGGGTCAGAGCTGAGATAAGCAGAAAGTCTGACATGGCAAGCAGAATGGCTCTGGTGAGTTCTGGGGGCCGGAGCACAGATGATGGGTTGAGGGGCCAGCCAGGACCCCATAAGAGGTCCACTGGAGGGTGTGTCACTTTGAAAGGTGACACAGGGGAGGGCCACATTCTGATGGACCAAGATCACTGGTGCATGAGTTGAAAGAAAGGTAGAACAAAGCCAGCTGTCCTATAGGACACATTTAGATGAATTCTCCCTCTTCATCACATATTTATGTATTTCATTAGGTGTAAAAGGAGTTTGTCTTTAATCTGGAGCCTATTTTTAACCCACATCCCATGTTAACTTGTCCATAATTGATATGGTTATAAATATAATTACTAATTAATATAAAGGCACACAGCATCAAACACTTCAATTCATTTAATTCACCTGAACTACGTAACACACTTCCCACTCCCACACCCCAAATAAATACTATTGCCGTGCGCACTTTTGTATGAATTCCTTCTGGCTTCTCTAGGGTTAAATTCTTAAACAGTTCCAGAAATCAAGCTCCCCATTTACCAGGGAAGAATATGAGACATTCAAGTTTACTGTTTGCTATCAGAGAATAGTCCACAGGCCTATTCAATAATTGTACAGTACCATGTATCTGCACACCACCAGCAGTGTTTAAAGGGCTTATTCCCCAAATTCCCAGCAACAGGGGTTTAGTAAATGCATTTATTCTAAATTTACTAGAAGGATCATGGAATCTGAGGTTATTATAAGTTTTATTTTTACTGTAAGTTACATTTACAGTGCTAGCAAGTCTATCCAATTCATACGGTCATCTTATGCATGTTTTCCCTTATTTATAACCTATTCATGTTCTTTATTCCTTGTGGAGTCAAGTTCAGAACTTGATTACTTATTCCTAGCCTGACTATGAACTGACCAAGATGATCTATGTGCCACATGCATATTCTTTCCAGAATCTGTTCTCTCTGTGAAGTTTGCAGAGGGAAACCAGGTTCTCTCTCTCTTTAGGGGCTGGGCCAGTCTGGGGGACATGCTGATCTGGAATGGGTGTGTGGAGTGAAGATCCCAGTGACACTGGGATTCACTCCTTCTTACTCAGCCTCAAGCGTCCCTCATCACGCCCCAGGGCCAGGGGCCAGCGAGGACGACGGGTGTGCTGGGCAAGGTGGCCTTGGCTCCTGCTGACGGGGCGCATGTCACTCCTGCAGTGCGGCCTCTGTCTGCTCAGGTCCTAGCATTGGGATCTTTCTCCATCCACAGAGGACAGAGCCTTAGTTCTGGCTCCCTCTCTAGGCCTCGCTCCCCTGTGTTGCCCGTGGGGTGCAGAATGAGGGGTAAGAAGTGCCCCAGTTTCTCCCTAGAGGAAAGTGGAGCTGAAAGCAGTGAGCACAGACATTCTGCAAAGGGGCAGAGGAAAGAAGGAGCAGGCTTTGCCAGCAGCTCATCAGGTTCCTTGCCCAGCACCACAGGGTCCACTGGGCTGTGCTCTGTGTGGCCCTGGGGTGCAGGGGAGGGCGCCCAAGCATCTGCAGGTGTGGCCCTGGTGCTCTCCTGCACCACATTCTCACTCCCCAGCATTCAAACCACCAGCCTGGTTGACCAACTACTGCAGGAGTGACCCCTGAGCACTGCTTGGGAGCCCTCCTCACCGAAGCATGGTGGAGAGTGGGTCAAGGATGTAGCTGAGTGGCAGAGACACTAGGCCCTGATTCAGTGCAGGTGAGCATGACAGGGACATCGGCAATGTCTGAGATAGTTTCTTCCCTCCAGCCCCCCCCCCCCTTTTGATTCCTAGGCCATACCCCGATGTACTCAGAGCTTACTCCTGGCCCTGTGCTCAGGAATCACTCCTGGCAGGGCCTATATGAGGTGCTGGGGGTCATTCCCGGGTCAGCTGCTTGCAAGGGTTTTTTCCTTTATTGTGGTGCTGGGAACCACATCCAAACCCTGGCACTGGCCAGGCATATGCTCCCCCTCAGGCCACACCTCCAGCTCCTTGGGTACCTGTTTTCTAGCCACTCTTGGGTCAGGAGTGCTGCTGGTGGACTGAGTGTCACTGAGCATCCTACAGTGCTCAGTGCCATTTGTCCCGCGGGGGCAATGGTGCTGTGGGTTAGATTGCTGGCTCTCCATAGAGCAGCATAAACTCTTCTCATCACACACTAGACTCAGGCAAGAAGACACAATCTGCCAGCAGCACAGCCTGGATTGGACGCAGGAGGGTGGCAGAATTCATGTGGAAATTTTGACTTTATTGTGGGGGTCATGTGTGTGATTTTTCTTACTTGCGCCCAGAACCAGGGCACTGAAGCCCAGGAGCTCCTAAGCGACTTCCCAGTCACACACAGCACCCTGGGCACTGCACGAGCCCCTCGGCTGAATTTCTCCTCTGAGCTTGCAGAGTGAGGGAAGAGCTGTCAGGAAGACTCGGAATGCCTCCTACACATTACATGGAGCAGCAGGCATGAAAAGCAGTGATGGGGTCCTCAGCAGCTGACACTCAGGTAGATGGTGGGAACTGCCGAGGTTGGGGGTCAAGGGGAGGAATCCCTGGAATAGGTGGGTTTGGACTCAGACCCTGAGCTGCCAGAAATAGCGACCTGAGATCTCACCAGGGAGATGTGGGGCTGATTCAGAATATTTAAGCTGCTGAAGCTGGGGAGAGCTAAGCAGACCACCATCCACAGGGACGGCACCCGAGTTTAACCCCAGCCCGACACAGAATATTGAGTACTTCTAGGGAGAGCTCTGGAGGACCCTGACCACTGCCAGGGTAGTCCGGTGTCCCTAGTACCACAGGTTCAAACACTGAACTGTCCAGAACATTGGCAGAGCATTGTTGGAAATGGTCTCCTGGTCCTCTGAGCATTATTTGAGAGCACCTCCCCCCAAAAAACCTTTCAAATTGATAAAACCACCTGCTCAAGTGTGTTCAAAGAAGTTTATGCCCAACAGTGAGCCCAAGTGAAAAAAAACAATTCTTACCACAGGTGCTGATGGTGGGGGAGGAGGGGGAGCCCCCAGGGGTGGGGGAGGTGGAGGCGGAGGAGGAGGGGGTGGTGGCGGTGGGACGGGCATATGTCACAGCGTTAGTGTCTCTGGCTTACGAATGATCCCGCTGAGAATAGCTTCTGCTCTGGAAGAAAAAAAAGGACACTTGTCAACGTGACGTCTTTATTCATATAGGTAATGACGCTACACACACTTGACATCCATCCATCCCGCCAATAAATGCCCTGGAGACTGGAAGAGGGAGGCAGATTTATAGAGAATTGAATGAGGGAGCTGGGAACATTCAGCTATTTACGCTGCAATATGCATAAATATATAAGCAGTAACTCCTCTTTCCAAATAACCAAATTTGACTTCTAGATGATTCCCAGGGCATTTGAAAAATACTTTCCCCACTCTCATTTTCCGGAAGCAGCGCAATAGAATCAGACTCTACCTTCCCCAGAGTGGGGGCTTCCACGCTACTCAGATGCAGTCACTCTTAAGGCATACAAAGAGGGTGAGTCTTTTTCCTGCACCAATTCCTGTCACCTCCAACATTTCTTGCTGTGTCTGTGCTGCGGCTTCTATCCCACTATCTCAATGAAATCAAGACCTTTTCCTGCAGACATTATAAGCTGGTATTTGCTACAGAGAAGGCACCTGATTTTACAAAGTACAGCTATGTTTTAAGCAGTTAACCTGACAAGATGTCTGATCTCCGGAGAAATGTGTACATACATATCTCTCTGTTGCTTGCATCTTAGAACCCGTCCCAAGACACACTGCAAACACTTAATGTCTAGCTCTAAAATAATTTCAGTGGACAAGAATGAAGAAAACCTACACAAGATTTTGAAACAAGGCTTGGGGGTATGGTGCTGCCAACAAGTCAACCTGTACCTGTGGGGCGAGTGCATCACTAGCCTGATGTTGCCTTCAGACTTCCTGATACCCCAAAATTGCCACTGTGCCTTTGGCCAGACCCCAAAAACTTGGGAACAAGTTTACCAAGAAATTAAATGGTCAAAAGTTAGGTCTGTGGGAGTCACACCCACAAAGCACCTCCAGCTCAGCTATACAAGCTCACTTAGAGTTGGGATGGGCTACCTCCTCCACTTCCCAATACACTTGGAAGAACTGGCAGTCACCCCATGAACCAACTCCAGCACCATCCTGTAAGCTCTACTATTGGCCTTGCCTCAGAGACCCCTAAATAAATCTTGAAAGAGATCAAAAGCCACAGTTAAGCTCAGACCCATACATGGCTGAACTGTCCGGAGTAAATAGGAGGGGGCGGGTTGGCCTGTGTCCGCCCAAGCAGAGTCCCCAGCAGCCACTTTCTTCCACAATCCAAAATAGTCACCATACCCCAAGTGTGGCTCCACCGCTCAGGATGGACCTCACCAAGATATATCCTGCTGAAATTTTTGTAATATGAACCTTAGCGCACCAACAGCTCTGGCCCAGAGACACAGCAGCAAGTGCCAGAAGACACCACAGTACTGGAGATCTCTCAGGCTTCATACCAAGCCAATATCACTGGGACAACCCAGATGGAGCAGGTTTGGTCTTCCCACCAACTCCAGATGGAATCCTGTGACCAAGAGCTTCCACAAGCACGGCCCAGGTATGTGGGTTCTAGGACTACATCTCCAGGCTGCATGGTGGCAGAGAACCTGGGCTGTCCTTCTTCGGGTCCCCACCCACCCAGAAGACTAGCTGTCATCTCCACAATTAGCCTCTGGGCACCATATTAGCACACCAACAGCCCTGGCCCAGAGACACAGCAGCAAGTCCCAGATGACATGACAGCACCGGAGATCTCTCTGGGCCCCATACGGAGCCAATATCACTGGGGCACCCCAGATGGAGCAGGTGCAGTCTCCCCACCTACTTCAGATGGAATCCCAGTGATCAAGAGCTTTCAAAGCAAGGCCCAGGTATGTGGGTTCAGGACTAAATCTCCAGGCCGCAGAGGACCTGGGCTGTCCCTCCTTGGGTCACCACCTGCCCAGAAGACTGGCTGTCACTCCCACAGTTTGCCTCCAGATGCCATCTTAGTGCACCAACAACCCTGGCCTAGAGGCTCCCAATTGAATTCCTAAATGTATTAGTGCCAAACAGAGATGTCTCTGGAACCCAACCATTTATAATCTAGAAATTTACATTTACAATAGCACCTGTGTAAGCTTTCGTGATATTCAAAATGAGCTATGGAAAATATATTATCTAGTGTCTGCCCCTGGCAGGTAGGCTTGAATGGTGGTGGGAAAATTCAAGCAAATTTAATGCCCCAAATTAAAGAGAGAGTACTGGGGAAATTGTCTGCCATAGGTCAGGGTGAGGACGGCAATGTGTATGTATGGGAGGAGGGTGATACTTGGGACATTGGTGGTGGAAAATGTGCACTGGTGGAGGGATGGGTGTTTCATCATTGTATGGCCGAATATCAAACATGAAAGCTTTGCAACTCTATCTCATGGTGACACAATAAAATAAAAAAGTAATGTGGAGTTCATGCCCAATTCAATCAACTAAATCAATGGCTGAACAAATAGCAGTACTCCTATATTATTTAAAAAAAGAAACAAACAAAAAAAGAAACAAGGCTTGAGATGTAGTGTAGGAGGTCAGGCATTTGCCTTGTATGTAGTTGGTTCAATTCCCTGGCACCACATATGGGTCCCTAAGCACCACCAGGAATGATCCCTGAGCACAGAGCCAGATGCAAATCCTGAATACTGCAGGGTGTGGCCCCCCACAGAACAATGAAAGAAAGAAACAATCTAGAAACAAAGCAGAAACAGAACTTAACAGAGTTAGGCAAGGTAAACCTATATTCCTTCTAGTCCTGTGATCACTAAAATACCACAACAAGACCTATGCTTTGAATTCTTTAGCTGGGAAATCCTATGGCACCTAGATTGTTCCATGTTAATATTTTTTATCTTCCAGAGGCAGAAATCAATCATGAAATATGGTATTTTATCCTCAAAGTCGTTTACTGGCAATACTAGTTCTACTTAGCTTTTTGTATTAACATGCTAATTAATTTTCACAACAATCCTCTAAGGTCAGTAATTTACTCACCCCCCAAAATTATATTCAGAAACATTAAGTAGTTTGCACACATCTAATAATGGTACATCTCAGATTGGAACACAGAGTTATCAAATTCTACACTCCAACCTCCTTCCAAAAGTTTTTTTAAAGCAATTTTAGTAAAATATATGCAACATAAAATTTATCATTTTATCAATTTTAAAGCACTAAGTGGCCTTAAGTACATGATGTTGTGTGACCATCATCAATATTTCCAGAATGTTTTCATCATGAAAAATAACGGTTCTACCTATATAACAATAACTCCCTCCTTTCCTCTCCTACCCCAAACCTCTATTCTGCATTTTGTCACTATGACCTCATCTATTTTAGATACATCCTATCAGTGGGTATACACCATTTTCCCCCATCTGGCTTATTTCATTTAACATAAGTTCATGTTTTTGTATGTAGCACTGGAGTACTGTCCTCTCGTTGTTCATCAATTTGCTTGAGCAGTCACCAGTAACGTCTCCATTGTGAGACTTGTTGTTACTGTTTTGGCATATCAAATATGTCACGGGGAGCTTGCCACGCTCTGCTGTGCTTGCTGGGCTCTCCGAGAGGGGCAGAGGAATCGAACCCAGGTCGACCGTGTGCAAGGCAAATGCCCTACCCGCTATACTATTGCTCTGGCCCAGTTTTGTTGTATGTAAGGTAAAGGTAAAGGTAAAGGCCCTCCCGTTGATCGTCGATTTGCTCGAGCGGGCCCAGTAACGTCTCCATTGGAGACTTTGGAGACTTTGTTGTTACTGTGTTTGTCATATCAAATACGTCACGGGGAGCTTGCCAGGCTCTGCCGTGTGGGCGAGATACTCTCGGTAGCTTGCCGGGCTCTCTGAGAGGGGCGGAGGAATCGAACTTGGGTCGGCCATGTTGGCTGCTTGTAAGGCGAACGCCCTACCTGCTGTGCTATCGCTCCAGCCCTGTTGTATGTACTATCATTTAATTCTTTATCATTCCAGTGCATTTTACACGATGTTTCTTGATCATCCATTTATCTGGTTTTATTTCTCTTTTTGGTTGGGGGGGGCTACATCCAATGGTTCTCGGGGGTTACTCCCAGCTCTGTGCTCAGGGGTCACTCCTGGTGGTATTCAAAGAAACATGAAGTGCAAGCAAAGAACCTGGACCTCCTGCATGCAAAGCATACACTCAGTTCACTGGGCTGTCTCTCTGATCTATCCAATTATCTGTTGATGGACACTGGGTTGCTTCCGCCTTTTGAACATTCTGCACTGCACTGCACTGCACTGTCTTCTCGTTGTTCATCGATTTGCTCGAGTGGACACCAGTAATGTCTCTATTGTGAGACTTCTTGTTACTGTTTCTGGCATATCGAATACGCCATGGGGAGCTTGCGAGGCTCTGCTGTGCGGGTGGGATACTCTCGGTAGTTTGCTGGGCTCTTCGAGAGGGATGAAGGAATTGGACCTGGGTCGGCCAGGTGCAATATTAGTATACAAATATTTCTATAAGACCCTGCATTCATTTTTCTGGGCATAAGCTTCGCAGTAGAATTGCTGTACCATATGACATTAGCCATTTTCATTAGGTTTCAAAATTCCTAACACTGTATTAAAATTTTAATGGTATAAAACATATGTGAATTGGATCTTTTTTAAATGTCTATAATCATTTTTGAGTCCCAAAGGACAGCATAAGCTGATCGCTATAGGGGACAATAGTTTTAAAATAACTATACCCATGATAGAAAGGGCTGGGTGATTACTGTGCCAGTGCCTCTTTCCTTAGGAGTGAAACATTAACATAGAAACTGAAAAAAAAAATCATCAGAATTCTCAGTCTAACAAAGCTGTGCAGAGATTTCAGAAGATAGCAGATACATAAATAGGTAACATCCTTTTCATTTTATTTAACATTTTCCTTTTTTGTTTGTTTTGGCAGTCACACCTGGCGGTGCTCAAGGTTTACTTCTGGCTCTGAGTTCAGGGATCACTCCTGGTGGGCTCTGGGGTTGGGATGCCAAGGATGGAACCCAGCTTTTCAGTGTTGCAAGGCAAGTGCCTACTCACTGTA